CCCGCCGGCTCCCGACCTGCGCGCCCCCACCAGCGCCCCCTTACCCGCTCAGCGGCGGCAGCGGAGGTGGTGGCAAGCGGCCGCCCAGACCTCAGGCCGCGTTCCTCCTCTGGGAGTTGGTCCGGGAGCGCTCGGCTCCCGCCCAACATTCACAAGCTCTGAGCGGGTCCAGGTCGGCGAGTCTGTGCGTCCGCGCAGCGCGCTATTCCTCTTCCCGCCCGCACGACGGACGCTCAGGCTGGAACTCCCAATGCTGGGGACGTGGGGACTGGTGCAAGTCTGGTGGGGCAGGGCCTGGCGGTGGGGCGAGCAGGCCCACCCCCTTAACCGCCCCACCGGGTCTCTATCCCTTAACATCCCCATCCGGTCACCCACCGGTCCTGGCACCCAACCAGAACCACGACTGGCCTCGGGCCAGGCCACACCCCCTAGCCCCACTCCCCCTGCTCGCCTTCCTTCCCAACCCCATTACTGCCCCCCACCCCCAGCCAAGCCCCCAAGTCTCCCACCGGACCCCCAAGATGCGGCTCCCCCTCACAACGAGGTCCCCGCCCCTACACTCCATCACGCTAGGTAATAACCTGTGGCTTCCACACAAGCTCACCCCCCATGCCTCACTGCAGGACCCCCAACATCCCGAGATGGTCCCACTCACCCCTCACTGGGGTCAATTCCACTCTGAGCGACCCCTCACCCCTCAGCGTGCCCCCTCACCGTGGGATCCCCCCTCACTCCCAGTGCATCCCTACCCTAGCTGACCCCCTCACCCATCACCCAGCATGCTCAGGGTGGAAGTCTGGGCTCTGGTCTCCTTGGAGACTGCCACCAGCGGAGGATCCCGCCTAGTGTGCCGCTGCGCAGCTAGTGTTGGAGGCTACAGGGTGCGGAGGGTGGGGCTGGAGGCGGTCCCAATACCTGCCCCTGCACCCTGACCCCTGCTCTTTGCTCTGTGCCTCCTCTGAGCCTGCGGGTCAGGGTGGTCCCGGGCCGCCCACCACTGGCCTGTGGGCCATGGTTCATCGATGGCCCTGATGGTGATCGGGACCCTTAGGGCAGAAGCATTGGGCACGTGGACCTGCAGGGGGGGTGGGGGGAGGGTGCAGCTGAGCCTGGGGACAGACAGCAGGCGGGTGGGCTATGTTCATGGCCTGGGCTCAGCCCAGGTGAGTTCAGGGACCCTGTTCATTCACGCCAGGGCAGAAGGAAGAGGGATGGGAGCTCCGAAAGTGTCCAAGCCAAGGCTAGAGAGCAAAGCAGGCAGCTGCACTGGCCAGGCCACCTTGGAACCCTCCACAACGCTGGTCTCTGCATATGGAGAGACTGACAATTGACCCGCCAATGAGACGTCGCCTCCCCCTTCCCCCATATAGTTTACAGGCAATTGAAGGGACTTTGATAGGTAATTATAATCACCATTAATGGTTACTTTCTCTACGGAAGATCACGTACACAGTCACGGTGAACCTGGCAGGTTTTCTGCCTGGGGCAGAGGAGGACCCGCTCAGAAACATCCTCTTACCTCTCACCAAAAGGCTTTGTAGTACAAAAGAAAAATCTGACTCTGTATTAGTTCTGTTCCTTTTATTTTAACAGGGTGCTGTTTTCTAGGCTTAGTCTTGCCAGCTCTGCACCTTGTGCAAAACAACGTTGCCTTTGGCCTGAAACTCACAGGAGAGCCTATTCTCAAGGCTCTGACCTTTAAGGATATGAACACTTTCGCACTCCTATAAAAAGTAACAAGTTGCAAAATAGAAAATAACCTTTGTTTTCTTGGAGGTTTTACAGGGGCATGGTGACCTGACCCACGTGGACAGTTGCAAAGTATTCCAAGAACATAAAAAGTCCTACACCAAGAAGTTTGCACCAACCAACCACATCCCCTCCCCCTTTTACTAGAAAAGGAGCCTGAATTCTGACTTCTGGAAGATGGTTCTCCAGGACATTAGTCTACCATTAACTTGGTCTGCACCTGTCCACGTTGGTCAGGTCATGCTGGCCCTGTAAAACCTCTAACAAAATAAATGCTATTTTCTATTCTGCAAATTGTCTTTCTGTTAGTGCAAAAGTGTTAACATCCTTCAAGGTCAGAGCCTTGAGAACAGGCTCTCCTGTCTATTTCAGGCTAAAGGCAACATTGTTTTACACAAGGTGCAGAGCTGGCAAGACTAAGCCTAGAAAACAGGGCAGTGTTTAAGCCAAACAAGCATATCTAATATGGAGTCAGATTTGTTTTCTATTACAGTATATTCTATTCCTATGGTTTAAGTTTACAATAATAAAGTTTAGCCTTCTCCCATCTTAAATTGTGCAGTTCAGCAGCATTAAGTGCACTCACAATGCTGTGAGACCAACATCACTGTCTGGCTTCAGACTATTTCCTTCCTCAAAGTAAAAGCTTCTATCCAAAGCTCACCACAAGTCCTCCCTCCCAAAGCCTGTGGCAAACCCTAATCCCCTTTCTCTTTCTCTCTCTCTTCACCTACCCTGGAGGTTCCCTATCAATGAAATTGTATAAAAGGTGGCTTTTTGTGTCTGCCCACATATCTTAAGCGGGGACTGGAAATTATTTTTTACATGAATTCGCACTTTTGTATTTTGAGAGGAAAATCCAGATGGATTAAAGATGAGATACACAAAATGAAGCCCTTTTAGTAACTATAGTAACTATGTGCATAACTTCGGAGTAGGCACCCCTGTTCTAAGTGTGAAGCCACAGCCAGAAGGGAGATGCTTAGCTCTTCCTGTGGCAAAACAAAACCAAACAAAACCAAAAAATGACCAAAGGCCAAGAAAGACAGCTGAAAAGACAAAACCACAACGTGGAAAAAGCATTCTTCATGAGCCAAAGTCAGACAAAGGTTTCACATCCCTATGGTCCAAAAACCTCTTCAAACCCAGTGTTCTGAACAGAAACAGAACACATAAAGGCAGTTCCAAAGAGACGCAATGCAGGTGGCCAGTGTGTGCCCCACATCTTTAGGTCAGCCTGCTTGCTGGAGACCTGTGCGGTTTGATCAGGGAGCGGCGAAGACTACAGTGGCAGCAGCTGCGGTGGCGGGAGAAGCGGGGCTGCCCTGTGCCAGCTGATGGATTTGCTCCTGTCTCCCCTGTGGCCTGGCCTGGGGTTGACCTCTGCTGCCCCAGGTTGGGGAACACACATGTCCCAGTCACCCTGCTCCTAGGAAGAGGTAATGTCACAGTGGAGGCGGGGTACAGGGACCACCTGACCACTGCCAGCTGACCCCACCGCATCTGTC